TCTGCTTTGAACTGAACTGGCCCAGCTTATCCCCTCAGAAACTGCTGTATTGATTACACCTTTTTTTCCCCTGAAGGAACCCCAAGGAGACCAAGACAAGTGTGACTTCTGACAGAGTGCCTGCAGTCACCCACTGATCACAGAGACATGTTCAAACCCGTTCTGTTTGGAACAAATATGTGCCTGTATGAACTGGAACCCTAATCACAATACTCTTTTACTTCGCCACATAAAGAAATAATGATTAAGATAACCACTGCAATTAAAAGCTCAAACCTAATAATTAAATGAAATATGATAAAGGACCAAGCAAAACATTAAGTACAGATGTGTCTCCTTGCAGATAGCAGGTCTGCCCTATCAGTAAATATAAACAGGTTAAACTTACTATCGACATGGAAATGACACCATCAGTCCCAACACAAAGCCCAACTGCACGTTAGACTAGACACCTAGTTAAAGTTAAGTCACTCGGGAAGACTGAAAATAAAAGGATGGTGATGCTATACTAGGAAATGCGAGCAGAAAAGAGATGCCTTGATCTTCCTATGAATTAGGGTGGGATCCAGGTGGAAAAGTACTGAGTGAGTACAAGCATGGTAGTCTACAATGCTAAAGGGTGCAAGTCAGAATGAGGACATGACAGTTATGAATATCTAAGCATCACACATAACACCAAGAGTCACAGAGCAGACACTATAGAGAGAAACAGAGCCATAGCATTGGTTGTGTTCATTGCTGTAGTCAATTCTGACTCAGTGACTTCATGTGAGCAGAGTAGAACTGCTCCAGAGGGTTTTCAAGACTGTGATCTTTTGGAGGCAAATTGCCAGACCTTTCTTCAGAGGTGCCTCTGGGTATATTTGAACTGCCAACCTTTTGGTTAGTACTCTACTGCTGAACCTTTTGTGCCACCCAGGGACTGAAACACATTGAGTGGATGAAAACAAATTATGTATGGTAGATCTGGTATCTCAAACTCAATATAACCTGAGAAGAGAGCATATACCATCTTTCTTGCTGCCGAAGTAACATTTGCATGAGATGGCTAGCTGTTTGGCTACACAGAAACCACTGATCATTTTAAAGCTCCTATTTCAGCCCACCTCTTTAAATACGACAGAATAAAATTAGATGACAGATGCCAATGTGAAGTACAGAAAATACCTACTGGAAATGTAAGAACTCAAACCACTCACTCTTTGTCCATATAGAATGAAACTCTAAAGCTGCAGATTAGCTGAGGAAAGAAGCAAACAGGGCACATCATCAAGAGCAATGCTCCCCCAAATCATTATAGCCTCAAATACAGATACAGACAACAGCAACGCAAAATCTTAGAAAAACAACTGTTTTTTTAAAGATCCCAAATACTGTCAGAGGGACTTCGGTAAGTCAAAGGAGGCTATGAACTGGAGAACAAACATTATAAAATGAATCACTGCACTCCATCACTGAGCCTAAACCAAGAGGAGAAACACAAATGTGGGATAACAAATAAAAGGGCTTTAACCACAGAGCCGGTTAGACAGAAAGGGACTACTATCGCGGTTAGACACTGTGACTTAGCCTTGATAATTAGGTTAATTTTCTAGGGAAGTCCATCAAAATAAACTCTCAAAGAAACAGAAAATCTATGCAGATCAATACTACGAAAGAGTTGTCAGAGCAGTCTTACCCCCACCCCAGCCCCAACACACACACACACACACACACACTTTAACTTGTTTTGTTGGGGGTTCTATCAAACCTTTAAACAATTCAAATATACTGGTCTTTGCATGGGGGGAGAATTTCTACTTCTGAAGCAAGTGTAACATTGACAAGGAAACCTAAGGAAGCTAAACCAGCAGAGAAATACCCCATGGTATTCATCATAATGAATCCAGGGGATTTGTCATGCTTCTCTCTTCTTCTCGTATATTTAAAATTTCTCTATCTTCTGAGATGAAATTAATTTTAAAACATGTTTACTCAAAGAGGAAATGTTCTATACAAAGACCATTTATCATCTCCCCAGAGTTTGACAACAGTGTTGGTGAGAGTGGTTCCGGGAACCCAAGAGGCAAGCGAATTTTGGGAATGATGAGGGCAACAAATGTATAGATGTGCTCTACACAATTGATCTATGTATTGTGATGAATTGTATGAGCCCCAATAAATTGATTTAAAAAAAAAAGAGAGAGTGAAGGAAAACCTCAACTTACTGCTATTGAGTCTATTCCAACCCACAATGACCCTATAGGGCAATGTGGAACTAGCCCTGTGTGTTTCCGAAATGGCCAATCTTTATGGGAGTAGAAAGCCTCATCTTTTACCTTTGGGGCTGCAACACGTAACCACTACATCTCCAGGGCTCAAAAAAAAGAATGGCCATAAATATGGTTTGTCCTCCTCCTATATGCCATGGACTACCTGAAGATTATGTGCTGCTCCACTGCAGCTGAGGCATGAGCATCTGCCCCAGTCCCTACCTGACTGGTTTCAGGCACTCATCTGCTGCTCCCAGACACAGGCCTTTAAGCAGTGGAGATGGCCCTCCCTCCCCTGCCACTTTCTACAGCCATAGCTTCTTTACTGTTTCTCTGCTTCACCTTAAAAATACTCCCACGCCTATTCTAAATGCTCACGCTCCCACAGCTACTGCCCAAAGAGAACATCTGTCAAGAGACTGGAAGAACTAAGGGAAGAGCCTGGCTAAAGGTGGACTTTGCACGACAACGCCCTTTCTTTTAGTCATGCCATTTATGCCTTGTGATTTCTGGCCAACTCTCCCACCATTTCATGCAATACTTCTGTGAGCTTCCCTCTGTGGAAAAGACTTAGCTATTAGATTTCTCCCTTTATCCTAGGGGTGTATGTCTTCACTCCCCCACCCCCACCCCAAATAGGTAAGAATACTTTTATGGGAAAACTCAAGCAAAATTTGTTTTGACTGATTGTTTTTGTTGTTGATGGGTTGGGTTTTTTTTTTGGGGGGGGGGTGTTGTTTAATTTTAAACCTCGTCCTTTTCCCTTTGAAATGACAATCATATCTTTTATTTTGTGGGGGGGAAGCATATGCTTTGGAGATTAACCTGATCAGATCCATGGGTTTGGGTTTTATTAATGAGGACAAGGCACCCCAGTGCAGTGAAGTCCCTTTGTCCAAGGTCACACAATGAGTTACAAGCAGAACCTGAATTAGAACATTGGTTTCCAGTGACTGGACTCAAAGGTTTTCCACATAACACTAACCCCTACCATGGTTTTTCCTACTCAAGTTAACACCCTCGCCAAGGCACCTCTAACAAGGATCCACTCTAGCTGCTATAGAAAGACATCAAGTGAAACTCCAGTCCAATGATTAGAGCTACCATTTCACCATTAGGATGGAAGAAAGGAGTTGGGAGTTTCTGGGCTACTTTCATTGGCTCCTTTTCATGTGAACTACTCGGTGTCAGTTGACTCTGATGAAAGGTAGATGCCACCGGGTTCTTCTTCAAAACCACTGAGTAGAGACAGAAAACATGATCGTTTATACCAAAAGCAACGATTTCCTTCTAGCCTGGTGCTCCCTCAAACGTCGAAAAGGCTCACAGGTGGCCAGGAACGGGACAATAAAACGACTGAAGAGCCTGCTGCAGGTGAAGTAGAAGCTGCAAACATGAACATCGCCCTGGGCTTTGGCTTTCACCATCACTCTCAGGTAAAGTAGCATCTTCCAATGTAATGGGTCTCAACTGTAATCTACTCCTCTCTTATCTCAACTTTTGTTTTGTTTTGTTTTAAGTGTGATCAGTATCGCATTTTGTGATCAGGCCATTCCAGAATAGTCTTACATACTCAGTACTTTATTCTTTATGCCCAACTGGCACACCAGGGCCTCGACATTTACACGAAGTTCATGAAACCGCAAACCCAAGCGAACGGATTGCCATCTACTGGATTCCAACCCCGAGCAGCACCACAGAACAGAGGGAAGCCACCCCACCGGGTTTCCAAGACTGGAACCTGCACAGGAGCCGACTGCTGGGTTCAAACCGCCGGCCTTTGGGTTGGCAACCGAGCGCTTAGTCACCGCACCACCTGCGCTCCTTTAATTGCACCGCCCCCCCCCGCCCCCCCCCTGTGGTGTCTGGAGGGCTTTAAACATAGTTGCAGCTCCTTCCAGGTTTGTTCACCTCACTGCCAAAACAGCAGGAGTTGAGGAAACAACGGGTGAGGGGGATGGGACGGGGAGCCTGAGCTTCCAAAAGTTCCTGAGGAAATTCCAGGCTCTTGCAATTTCATTTTTCCCCACCAACTTTTGGAAGGTCCGCACGCCCAGTCCCCCACTTCACCCCGCCCCGCCCCCCCCTTTGCGTCTCATCCAGTTTGAATCGGGGGGGTGGGGGGGAGAGCACTCTCCACCTCTCAGCGAGGCCTAAAGGCAGGTTGGGGCCTGGGTCGCCCGTTCGCCCAGCACAATCCTTGTGAAGTTGCCCACAGCGGGCTGGACCAGGTGGAGGTGGGTGGGGCACAAAAGCAGAGGTCGGACGAGGAAAGGTGCGGAAATGCAGGCCGAGGAGGTCTCAGCCCGGCCGTTGAGGCGCTGCCAGGCCTCTAACAGGATTTCCCTAACAGTTCGAGTCCCACCACTCAGGCCACCCAGCCGGCACCTCAGCGGAGGGGGCAAAATGCCATTGCATAATGTCTTCGAGCTCAGCGATTTCTAAACAGCTCTTACCCAAGCAGGTATAGCTGGGGCAGCCACTCCACCCCCACCCCCACCCCCACCCCCGTCTCATCCCCGCGCGAAGTTTTCAGGGCAGTAAAGTCTGTCACGGAGGGGGGCCGGCCCCGGTGACCGCAGGTTTGGGGAAGTCCCGCCGGAGATGAGGGTCCTCGGACGCGGTTTCCGGGACCAGGCCTGCCTCCCGGAGCCCTCCCGGGACACCCCGACCCCTCCCGCGCCTCCCACGGCCTTTGGCCAGAGGCTGCAGGGTCTGCGTCCCTGAGGCCCGGCGGCGGGCACTCACCGAAGTCCAGGAACTGCTTGATGGAGAGTGGCGACGGCGAGAAGCGCGAGTAGTGCTCGATTTGTTTGGGCACCGGCTGCTTCAGCAGCCGGTAGAACAGCCGCATCCTGGCAGCAGCGTCGCGCAGACCCGCCGAGATGCCGGGTTGCCACGAGGACTGGCGTCGGCGAGCTGCACGGGTGGGCACGTCCGTCAGGCGCGCACGCCCAGCCTCCGCCTCGGCCTCGGCGCCACTGAAGCAGCCGC